TAATTTTTGGTATAGTAGTTGTGACTTATTCACACTATATACATTTGGCTTCCGCAACAGACATCACATACCTTTGTTACGACGGAAACATAGTTTATTTGATTTAACAATATGAACAAGTTTCTTTGTGTTTTTCTTGCTATTGTAAAACAAGTCAACCACTCATAGGAAGCAACATTAGAAATCTGCGACTCTATTTTTGGGTGAGAAGTTAGCTAATGTTTCTTTATCTGTTCACCATATTTAAACTGAGACCGTGTATCAAAAAGCATTCGAGTTTTTTCACATATTTTATGCATTATGTTATGACATTATCATGGCAGGATTCTTATTTGAAATTCATCGACGTTCTTTGCAGGTGATCTTGGTCAAACATATAATTCTCTTTCTACTCTTCAGCACTACATGCAAAGTGGAGCCAAAAGTGTATTGTTTGTTGGAGATCTCTCTTATGCTGACAGATATGAGTATAATGATGTTGGAGTTCGTTGGGATACATGGGGCCGCTTCGTTGAACAAAGTGCAGCACACCAGCCATGGATTTGGTCCTCTGGGAATCATGAGATAGAGTTCTTTCCAAATATGGTAATGACTTTACATATGTTTCACAAAGTTTTTGGCTTTTTATAACGTCAGCACTACTGTACGACATGTTTTCTTCTCATTGTTGCTAGTGCTTTCTAGTTATTTCACAAAGTTTTTGGCTTTTTATAACATCAGCACTACTGCACGACATGTTTTCTTCTCATTGTTGCTACTGCTTTCTAGTTACAAAATGAGATTTACTTCATTTTGTTCTCAGATGTCAGTGTATGTTGCAACATTCTAGTAGCCACAAGCACTCCATTCACTCGAAAAGATGACTTAAAGATGTTCTGCGCTTGTGTTGAACAATGGCGATTCTTTCACAATCCTCAGATGGACCTGAGGCCGTGATGGCTGGATATGCCAAGCAGGACCATAATTCTATATTGAGCAAAATCCCCATATTCATTTCTAATTCAGACCTCATATGAGCTCATGTCTTTGAGAGCAATGTTTTAAAATGTACTAAATTAGAATAACATAAAAACACCTCCGATGAGTCATATAAAAGTTTCTCCCTTCTTAAGGACCACTACACTGTGTCCACTTAAAATATTCTGATGCCCATTGACAATACTTCTCATTATGTACAGGGGAAGTAGTTCCATTCAAATCATTTCTATATAGATACCCAACACCTTATCAAGTTTCAAGAAGCAGTAATCCCCTTTGGTATGCCATCAGAAGGGCATCCACTCACATAATTGTCCTATCAAGCTACTCTCCTTTTGGTAAGTAATTGTTCCCTCTTATCTTTTGCTTCTTTGTAAATAATACATCTGTCCTTTTTCTCTTGCTTTAGTAGGTGCAATGCTTGTTGCGATATCTTGCCGTTAAACGCGAAGTTGTAGATTCTCTAGTTTCAGAAGACTTAAAAGGCCACACAAACAAAATATTTGCAACTTAATGGTTTTAAGATGGACTAATGAACTTTCGAAATGAAATGCAAAACATCATGTAATCAACTAAGTATATGCATCTGTAAGTAAAAATCCTCGAACTCGTGCTCACTAGCTTTTGCGTTGCAGTTTTGCCAAGATGATTTGCTGGCTTCTTTTTTGCAAGTTGTTTTCTTCATTACCAATTATTCATTCTTGTACTGCCGAACCATGTCCATGTGAAGGAAGATAAAAATTCCAGTAATTATTTGGTGCATTTGGCGAGGGAATTTTTCTTTCACATATAGGCTCTTCAAGCTTAGAACAAAGTAATTTCCGCTGGTTTTATAATGCAAAGAACAAGCTTAAAGCTTTAGGACCTAGTTTTGAATTGTCTAAAACCTGAAAATGTTTCTAGTTGTTCTTGTTTTACTATACCTTTGAGCATCATCAACCATAAAAATGGTTCTTTTGATTGGATAGCTACTCAGTCGCTGTGTCTCTTGGCTTGCAGTAAAATATACACCTCAATGGCATTGGCTGAAGCAGGAACTTAAAAATGTGAATAGAGNGTGGGGCTTTGGTCATAGATGAAATTAACTCCCGCGAAAAGAAAAAAAAATCAGCAAAAACTAATCAAGATCAATGGGAAGCTAAGAAAATCTATTGACAAAGTTCAACCGATAATGCTCTATATCTTTTGAGTAAATCGCGGTCTTTTCCACATAATATTGTCAACCAAAGATTGGAGCATCTTAGCAGACAAATAGAAACACGTCTAATATTAGCAAAAATAGAGATTTTAGGCGCAATAGAGAAGAATGCTGAGTTTTCCCCAGAAGCAATACTCTCGCTTTGTATATCTGGACTAATTCACTAAGAAGTATTATGTTTATTGCCAAACTGATATAAATTCTGGGATGACCTAACATTTTACTCAAAATATTTGAGCACAAATTGCAGTAATATGAGGCTATCAGGATATAGGCTAGAGACACATAAACGCCTCCTTTCTTTTATTGAAGATGAAATTTTAAGTCAGTGTATGTGACACACTGTTGCCTTAGAGAGAATTTAGTTACAGAAATCAGTTGCACATTTCTTCTGTCTGGTCTTTTTTCATTTTTCAGCTTTGTCTGTATTGTAATAATTATGCTCTGATGTTGAGACCTCCTATTTTTTATCCTTTTCAGTATCGCACATCTAATATACACTATAATGTCTCGGGTGGTGATGCTTATCCCGTACCGGATAAAACAGCTCCTATTTACATAACTGTTGGTGATGGAGGAAATCAAGAAGGTCTTGCTTCAAGGTAAGTTACACAGATTGCAGGGATTACCCTAGTCTATGACACCTTACGCGCTCTTGTTGAATTATGTGATCCACCTTATCTGATAAGTTTGAGTTATGTTTTGTCGTTTGTTTTTGCTTCTTTTTGTCCTTCCAAAAATATCTCCAACCAGCACAATTTGCACAAGGGATCCTGTCCAAGGACCTTTGTCTGTTTAACATATAATTGATTTATCTGACTCTGCCTCTTGTAACAGCCTGAGTTTACGGAATTTTATTACTGTACATTTTATGCTATCCAACTAATGTGGCTTTGTACATGATGTTGAACTATATTATCATTTCCCTTTCTATGCAGATTTAGAGATCCACAGCCAGATTATTCTGCTTTCCGTGAAACTAGTTAGGGTCATTCGACGTTAGAGATCAAGAATAGAACACATGCATTCTACCACTGGAACCGAAATGACGATGGAATTAAAGTTACAACTGACTCGTTCACGTTGCACAACCAGTATTGGTCAGTGTCATCCCCTTCAAGCATTTTCATAACATTTCTTTCATCTCTCCGCTATTAATTTACTTATTGTACGCCCCGTCTAGTTGGAACACACTAGTCAAAACTTGATAACATTGAAGAACTTCACACTCATATAGCTTTCAGACTTTAGATCCATGCTGTAAAATAGTGAACAAATGTGGTGTTACTTTATGTAAACAACACTCAATCTTGAAATCATTCTCCAGACTAGAAGGTACTTTTGTAAACAACACTGCGTCTTGTGTGAGATACTGATGTTTAACCAAAAGAGTCCGGAATAGTAGATACCATGACTAGGATGGCTAAGCATATCTAATGCACTTGCTCTTATTTTCTATTCGATCGACTGACCTTGTGATTCTTTTTGATAAATTTAGTTATTGAACAAAACTGAAATAACATTTCTGCATTTAATCCTACATGGAAAGATCTAAAGAAATGCTTTTGATGCACTGTGATGGCAAGTAATTGGTTTCGCTAAAATATAATGCATTAAGTTTCCATGGAGTTCTACTCTCACAAGTGAAGCGTCATTTTTTACTGATAAATCTTGAGAAGTTAGTACTTGTACCTCAGCTCTATGCATTCACCGCTTATTGATTCTACCATAGTTGCACTTGTCAATGTCACTATATGTCTCAGCTCTTAAGACCATTATATTATTTGAAATACAAATTGGTGTATGATCATTCTTTTACAACAGTGGTGTCTTTTACAACAGTGGTGTCTGAGTCAACTTTCTTGCACTCGGCTGTACCACTAAGTACCTACTACCTCCCATCATCACAGGTATCGCTAACTTTGTCCGCCAATGCTTAAGCAGATGGGAATGAATCACCTAGCGTCTTGTTTATGCTGGAATTTGAGTACCGATCTCCCATAGTTATCACCCAATTTATTAACCGCTAAGCCACACTCTTGAGTGCTACAAAGCAGTAAATGATTCCTGTTTTTTTTTTTTTTATCGTTGATGTCTCCCATTGACTAATGAGTGCAAGTCATGATTATGCAGGGGAAGTGCTCGTCGCAGGAGAAAGTTGAATAAGAATCATCTACACTGTCATCTCAGAAAGGCCTGCACGGTTCTGAAACATAGTTTATCAAGCATGTTGTCAACCTAGAGGCAGTTTTATGCCGTGGTCCTACTGTCCAGTTTCAAAATCTATGTACTTTGTTGAAGAAAGGATCCAGCTACCTTACTACTAGTTGTATTGAAAGGGCAGCCCAGGACACTAAACTCTCGTGCTAACTCTCGTGCTGCACTAGTTGTATTGGTCATAAAAACAAGAATTTATGATGTTTGTGGCAGCATCATGTCATTATGGAAGTGTTAAGTCCTTGTAAAGTTCCCCGAAGATGATTGAAACTCTTTCATGTTGAAACAGCTGCGTATTACATTTTTATTGTTGTGTTATTTGATTGACTAGTTTTTGGATACGTGCGTTGCACTTGTATCTTAGGGCACATGTTTTTGGACTAGGTTTTGTCAATATTTTGGTAATTCAAATTCTAACTTTTAAGGTTCCCACTTTTAGGATAGTTTTATATGATAACTCTGTTAATGAGCGTTAAAAAAGAATAGCCTACTAAGATAAAAGTTCTTTTTCACTTCTCCATTCAAGAGAATCAATAGAAAATCAATTTATTTTTTTTCTAATTCACTCTTATACATCAAGTCGTAATTTTTCAAATTATTTGAGAATTAGTAGTCAAAAGTGATACTAGTATTAATTATCATTAATAAGGGTAATTTAGTAAAATAAATACTTAATTGATGTTTTCTTAAGGATAGTACAAAATGCATTATGAACAAGTAAAAAAGCAACTACATTCTTAAGGGGAGTACAATATTATTAATTCATAATTAAATCCCTATATTATTTCTAATAATACATCTAACCAAACAAACACCTTACTCTTAAGTTTATATATGTAAGCTTATACTACATTTTATTCTTTCTCCAGCTTCAGCTTTACTTCAGAAGTTTTACAGCTTTACATTTATCTCTCCTCTGCATTAATCAAACAATTATCTACAAAAATGTTCAATTCTACAAATTGTCACTGCCTATGACGTAGTCGTACAGATACAAAATAACTTCTATTGTGTACAAGTCTTACAACAACAAAAAACATTCCTAAACTTTTTTATCATTAGGAGTCCCTGTAGTTGTGGTGCCCATTTGAGATGCAAGTTGAGTTTCCCTGATTTAGCTCCATCTAATTCAAAGGTTTCTTTATATTCACCTTCCATTAGTACTCTTGTCAATGTCAGTATGCATCTTCCCATGTAATCCTGCCAACAGCATGAAAATGTAAATAAAGGAAATGAATCATTGTAATCACATTTATATAGCAGCGGTAAAAACTACAGACGCCCGGTGTTTATATCAAACTAATAAATACACAACACATGTCTTTCATATAAAACTTTTACCGCTAACCATAGTTAGTATGTAGTTTTTGTTGGAAATGAATCAATGTAATACCATTTATGTTAGCTGTTTAAAACTTACCGACATCCAGTGTTTACATCAAACTAGAGAATACATGGCATGTATCGTTCATATATAATTTTATTGCCAACCATGGTCGATTAGTATGTACTTTCACCTCAATCCATCACTTAATCATAATAAATTAATGTGGTATGGTGCAAACATCGAGCGTCAGTAAGTTTTTTCCTTACAGAACAATGTCTCCGCCCCAGGCCCTTCCCCAAATCCCCACTTAAAAATAAGGGGAAAATCCCTCAAAATCATCCTCTATCCTACAATTCAATTATACTATAATGAATAACCCTAACGTTTCTATTGGTATCGCATGTCTAAGCAGTTTGACATGCTAAGGGAGAAATACTAACTAATAACTGCTCCCCACACAATGAATAGCACAAATATATAAAAAGATGAGTAAACCAAAAAAGAAAGTAACAAATGCCTGATCCGAACCAGCCTCACCTTTGACCTCGGCAGTTTCTTTGTACTAATCAGCATTTGTATATCAAGAAAATAATTGGAGATGACTACATTGTTTTGCTGGTCGGTTGACGATAAGGCAAATGGTTATTAGAGGAATAGACAAGGCATGATTTTTGTCTGGATGAAAGCTAGATAATTTGTTGTTTGCCCTTTTCATCTTATTCTTTAAACACAAAGTATACAACAACAACAACAACAACAACGACTCAGTATAATCCCACAAGTGGGGTTTGGGGAGGGTAATATGTACGCAGACCTTACCCCTACCCCGAAGGGTAGAGAGGCTGTTTCCAAGAGACCCTCGGCTCAAAAAAGCAACAGGAGCCGATATATTAGTACCATAAAAAT